TCTCAGAAGACGGCATTCTTCATAGTCACCGCCATGAAAACCTCAAATTTCAGATTATTGTTTGATGCTTTTGATAGATTTTGGTAAAATTTTATATAATATTGTGACATGTTGCGCAAACGAGAACCNAGTTGTATTGTGGCATTTGGAGTGTACTAATTGTGATACTGCAGATAGCAGTAATCGTAAATCTGTAATTTGGGTGATTGTTAGTGCGAATGTGAAATAAAATTCGCTACATCGAATACATCGAGAATTTATTTGTCGCGATATACGCCCGATACGCGACAATATAATTTGTAGTAATTCTGTATATATAAATATACCATGCGTCATTTCAGTTCGCTTTAGCTCATTAATAGCTTCGTTCAGTGGTAGACTGTGGCAGAGCAGAAAAATTACATAAGGAAGTGCGCAAGTTTATAGATCGCTTTAACCGTTTAAAGGCTGAACTTCCTATAAAACAATGTACAGAGTTCAGTTCGTGCCATACAAATAACACACTACATCTCCGCTACAAAACTCTGCTTGTTATGGATGTTTAGGGAAATAAATCTCTGTCATGAGAACCACACGAAACACAGATCGACTCTATGTGTAGAATGAAGAGTTTTATTATGTCAAAGCATGTGGTACGTATAGTAACCACTGAGTTAGAAGGGTTAAATAAGGAATGTAAGGACAATGCAAGCAGCGCATGTGTCTAGTTAAGACAACTTCCTGTGATGGTGCAAAACCAGACACCGCAGTTATTTGTCTGGCACTCTACGCAATAAGCAGCCCTACGAAACAGTGTAAAAATGCATCGAACGACTGATCATAATGGGTTTTCTCACGCCCATCGGACGCGTGAAGGCTGTGCCAGTAGCACGCGCGTGTGGCTGTTCCGCAGGTGCCATCATTGTCTTCTCACTCTCTTCTCTATTTTCGTACCTGAGATTGACAATCGGTAGTTTGCGGTGACGGGATGTGTTCCAGTTCTTGCCTTCTTGACAATTTTGTATGTTGAATGAATGAATGTATAAGGGGTGGGCCTTCTTGGCCCTTGCACCGCGACCTACAGAGATCTATTGTGCCTACTTTTTGTACGTTACTGCCATTGACAAGTATAAAACAAAAACAAACTCCATGGTTTTAGTCCGCAAGCGAACTATACCGACAGAGCGACCGCCGCTTGTCGGCGAAATTAGTGCAAACTTTAGCGGATAGAGGGTGTCGCGTGGTCAGCGCAACGGATCCACACGGCCGTTAATTTTTGTTTTCTAGACCGGAGCCGCTACTTTTTCGTTCAAGTTGTTCCTCAATTATCCTCACGAGGCCGAGTGGATCATGTTTCAGACCCACTACTTCTCAGAAAATCTGGTAGTGCCGGGAATCGAACCCGTACCTCTGGAAATATATGACTAGCCAATTGAATTTGCAAGTAGATAGACGCTTCGTTCCTCTTGGCCTGTGTTCTCCTTGTCTCGAGTCATGTTCCACTTCGGCTTGCCGAGTGAGCAGCCGCGGTACGGACCGTCTCTTTCGTCCAGAAGTGCTACTTTAGCAGATGTTAACGTCGCAGCATCATAGTGCGTGAAGCAAATGACAGAACCGTAACAACGGATGGATTTGTTTCTTTCTCTCTCTCTTCCTCCGTCTCTGTGGATGTGGATTGCCTCAGATCGTAATGCGACTGCTTCTTATGGCGGGGATTTTCTCGTTTCTACAGTTTGTCATGTCCTCTAAAGGCGCGTCCACATTACTCGTGCTCGTGCTCGCCAGGCTTGTGCTCGTCGGGAGACTCATCTGGCGTTTACTTGTGCTCGTAAATCTTCGTCCTCACTACTTCAGTTGCTCGCCAGGCTTCGGCACGTGAGGATCCGTATATTTACTCGCAGTGTGTATAGGCTGTAGTCGTATTTTAATTTATTGGCTATAGTTTTTAAATTAAACATTTAAAATTTGCTTGTCTCGTGACTTGTCATATCGTTCACATTACTCGCGAGCATAGCGAGTCACATGAGTAATGTGGACGCTTCTTAACAGTGCGGGCGTAAGGCAGAAGTGGCCGCAGTACCAAGTAGACGCATTCTCACCCCACTAACAATATATATATTTTTTTTCCATTGGATCTTCCAGCCCATTCACGGCCCATGCCTCTTATTCGGTTCCGTAATCATTTTTCACAGACGGCAGGACTCCTTGGACGAGTGATCATCCCGTCGCAAGGCCGCTACCTAAACACAGAATAAACGCAAACACACACCAAAGGACCATGCATTGATTGGGATTCGAGCCCATGATCCCAGCGTTCGAGCGGACGAAGACGGTTCGTGCCTTAGGCGGCCTATACACGTACGGGTCTGGCTCGCGAGTTCGGCTCGACAAGGAGCCCGTCTTGGATTAATTTCACCACCCACGTATGAGTGTGGCGACCCACACACGGTCGAGTTTGGCTCACTGGAACCCGAGGCGTGTCGGACTCGCGAGCCAGACTCGTATGTGTATGGGCCCCCTTAGACCTCGCGGCCACTGTGGTCGGCTTCATTACGATGCTTGCCAAACTCATTGCCATGCTTTAAAAGTACTCTTTCCTCCCCCTCATATAGGGTAGAATAATTGACGTGACTATTGTTTGCTGTGCTTTGATTTTGCCATTGACCTATAACATTGAAAGTAGTCAAAGTACCATTAGTGATACTCAGAAATAGTTCTATGTATTTCTGATACTGCAGCCTAATCTTACCTCTTTCTTGAGCGAGCGTTATGTTGCGTGATATTTCAATTGGGGTGGGAGCGGTCATCGATCAGGTGAACCGCCTGTCACTCTAATTTCTCCTCATGCAAGACGAATGTATAACGCAAGTCCCATATGAAGGTACTGTGCATGTAGAAATGCATTTGAGAGTCGTCGTAGTTGGTGTTCATTAATTCTCTTCATTGCAATAATAGCACAAGCTAGGACCACCGGGTGTTTGTGAAGTGCGACCTTGCCCTACAGGAAGAGCTACGTGAATAAACTTCAGCGGCGCGAAGTTTCTGAGTTCCTACGTATTATTATTATTGGATGGGGTGTGTTTCCCCATGCACCGCGACCAGTTTGATCTATTGTACGTCCCCCTGTGATATTCTACCAGTCTGTATACCCTACCGGTACTGGTGCGTGCCATCAGTCCTGACTCAGCCAGCGAGTTCGGCCTCTACTGGCTCAGCGGTATCTAGATGCTTCCCCCATCTACCAGAGGCGTTAGAGACTGTTGTTGGGCGGGAAATGTCCTTACAAATTTGGCTCAGAGGTCACCTTGGGACATGAGGTTCTTTTACGTGCCGTAAAGCTACGACGCGGGACCCACGGCTTAAAGTCCCTCACGGAGGACTTGTTCCCTGAACTTTTTCCGCCCATAAAAATTCCACGACCTCCGCCGGGTTTGAACCCGCGTACCTTGAGTCTTTAGGTGGGAACGTTACCCCTAGACTACGGAGGCCGCGTGAGTTCCTACGTAAGTATGTCTCAGTATTGCCGTGGGAGTTGGAAGATAAGAGACTTTCAAAGACCAGACATACAAATGTATGTTTGTGGACGAAATAATGTGCATCCGTAGAGAAAAGAAGCCATCAGGTGGATAGGACGTGCGCGACATTTGGGTCCCCCTGTTATGCTAAGAGAGAGAGGCGCAGTCCGAGCAATAAAAGAGATCTCTGATAAGATCAGTATGAACATTGCCTCTTTTGCGCCTGGTAGATCCCCATTTCATTTCTCGTTACAATAATAGGTTCTGCTGTGACACATTATCTTTGTTGCTACGTTGACAGGCTGCATCAGAGCACAAAAATATACTATCCGATTTCTGTGGTTAGTGCGTGAAAACTGATAAAAGTACGGCAGATAGAGATTTCTGTGTGGCGATAAGTTAAAAGGCCAGAAGAAAGTTTAAGAATGGTTGGAAAGAGTCGACAGAATGCGGACGAGTGTTGGTACGCCTCATCGCTTGTAATATGTTTTGAGGTTAGGGAGCAGGTCCATCAGGATACATGGAAGAACAGAACGATCGAAATTGATTACATGGCATCGGGCGTGAAGAGAAGCGATGCACGAATGGCTTAAGACCCAACCTAAAATAAGCGTTATATCTTCTCTTGTCTGATTGTATTAGGTGACTTGCTTATCATTGGACCAGATAGAGATATTGGGTTTTCAGACTTTATCCATCATCCTGGTTTTTAAGATAACTAAGAAAAACACGACGTTTCGGAAACTGGATCTGTTTCCGTCCTCAGGTGAGGGAAAACACCTATTCTGTTTTATCCCTTAAAGGACGGAAACAGATCCAGTTTCCGAAACGTCGTCTTTTTCTTAGTTATCTTAAAAACCAGGACGATGGATAAAGTCCGAAAACCCAATATCTCTGTGTGTTATACACCATCGTCAGAATCCTATAATAACTAATTGGACCAGATGTTTTGAATATTAGGGTGTGTATGATTTATTTTCCAAAATGTTTCTATATATTAACATGGCGTTTAAACTTTGGCTATACCAGGAATACAACCTTTACCTTATCCATCCACTGTCTCTACTTTATCACTGTATTCTGCTGTGCCTGATTATGGGTAATTCAATTCCATGCTCATGGTGTGTCGTGTCTGAACATGCGACAAAGCAATTTGCCAACTCCGTGTACAGATTTTTCATATCTTATTGTTGAGGCGTTTGTGTCCTCTGTGTTGAGGTTCTGTTCCACTGTACAGAGACTGAATCGGACTAGCGAAAGGATGGATGCTCGCGAACTGAGACTGTCTTTCTTTCCCTCATGACTGGCTTGTCGATTAAGTACGTCCGTTGGAAATAGATTGTCCGTGTAATAACATCAAGGTTTTGCTTTCCTGTAACTTTGTTATTGCACTCCCGCTCTGCCCGCCTGCTTTCCGGAGCCGTATCGGAGAGAATTCTTCCCTCCACCCCTTTGGAACTAATCGAACCGATAATTGATGTCGCTTTGTTTCTCTGTCCATTGCAGGAATCTCGTGTACAACCTCAGCCTCACAGACCTCTCAGAAAATCAGGTGAGTGTGAACTCAACTTAACCCAATGTGCATGGTTGTCGTTACATAGAAATTGTTACGATGTTAATGGCGTTTTGTTAGATCTCGAATTAAGGGATTTGAGGTTCGTAAAGCGAATGAGTGTGAGGGGACTTCGCAGCGTTATATCCCACAAAAAATATGAATTTTCATGGGAAACTGGATCTAATCCCAATAGCAACTGGAAATGAATGTACTAAATTTGTAATTTAATTCAAATTTGCGAAAATTTGTTGCACCTGAAGATAGTCAACAATGATCGAATCATGTTGTATTTTAAGGAATAGACTGATTAGTTTGTATTTGCTGATGATCCACTTAGAATTTGTCGTTAGACGTTAACCACTACGCTTAAGTTACTAGCGCACAACAGGATGCGAAACTGAAGATTGAAATTTTTTTGTTCACAAAGGCATAAGTGCCGTATTTTGTAAAGGACCATGGAAAGGGGGTATTATATCTGATAAGATTTCGTGGATTAGGCCGCGCCATAGCTCAAGCGGTTAGTCGCTGGCTTCCCACCTCGGCGGCCCGGGTTCGATCCCGGGTCTGGTCAAGTGGGATTTGTGGTGGACAAAGTGGCGCTGGGGCGGGTTTTCTCCAAATACTTCAGTTTCCCCTGCCACTTTCATTGCACCAAATTCTCCATCATCATAATAACCCGGGACAAGCTACAGTAGGCCAATCAGTGGCCGCCGTGCCGAATGGACCTAGTTGGACTCCACCCCCAACTAAGCGAATTAAAAAAAATTACATGGATTAACTGATTCCAAAATGTCCCAACTGTAGATCTGTGGTAATGCATGATTTTACATGTTACTAATAGAGGTCAACGTCACGAAACTAGTGACAAGACAAGGAATTGAACTGGCAGGTGCCGCGAAGCCACTCGTTTGTTTACAAGAGAAACAAACGGTGTTTGATGTATAAATTCCGCTGAATTGCTGCGTCCAAGTATTAAGTAAGGACCAGAGCACGATTTCTTCGTAATACGTCTTCAAAAAGTAACTGACTTACTGGGCAGAAGTCCCAAGTGCGTCCAATGCATAGGGGCTACTGCAGCCGGACGAGGTCTTCATCGCTCTTTCGCTATACAAACTTCAGACAATACACACGTGTGTCTGTAATGTTGGGAAAAGAGCACTTTCAGTACGGACGACGAGAGACGATCCATAGTTCTTTCTCATTTACTCACTGCCTTCAGGTAGTATGGCCTTTTTTTTTTTTTTTTTTTAAAGATGGTAACCAAACTTATTCTGTAAGTTAAACAATTCTCCGATGTAATGCACCTGTAAGGTTTATTACTATGGTCGTAGAATCCGTCGCTGAACCTCACCCTGAACCAGTTCAGTTTATCTTCAAACACGCTTTTTGAAAGACATTTTATTGTTTGCCTTATCCTTTCCACATTCGCTTATCTTTTCCAGATGGCCTTAGCCCTTCAGGTTTTACAACCAAAATTCCGTACGGGTTTCTCATTTCCTCTGTGTGCTACATGTCCTGTCTGTCTCGCCCTCCACGATATGGCCACTGTAGTGCAGCTGGGTGAACAGTACAAGCACGAAGCCCTTCGTTATGTCACTTACTTTCTGAGCACTCCTAATCGCGCAGAACTGGACGGGCGGGCCAATCCGAGTGGAGAAGCGTCGCGTCAGATGTGACGCAGTTCATGTACCAGTGTAATGGGTTCACTGCTTGGAGTAGTTGGAATTGCATATGAGCTCTCGCGTGCGTTCGCTGGGGAACTTTTCATTAGTGATATGGATACGAGTTAAACTATTCATAACACTTGGTGCGACATCTTCAGAGCGTGCGGTGCAAATGTCCGTTTTCTGTTTCTAGGTACTGCTTTGTCGCGGCACACTTCCTTTCTTATCTTTATTTATTAACTTCGTGTAATTGCGTATGAAGTTAAAATATAATGATTAGGACCTTAGAAGCCAAGCAGTGACAGACAAATTCGGCGTTAAATGAACTCAGTTATTGAGAACGCCTGTGAGGTAACAGTGTGTTTGAAAGAAGTTCATTACATAAAGAAGAACGAGTCCGAGGGCAAGAAGAACCGATCATTGGAGCCTATTAGAGGTGATGGCATTAAAACTAAAGTTGAATTATCCTTTGAACTTATTATCCTTGAACTTAAAATTTAGCAGGGCATGTAGCACGAATCGGGGAGGCGAGGAATGCATATAGGATATTGGTGGGAAAGCCAGAAGGAAAGAGACCACTGGGAAGACCAAGGCGTAGCTGGGTGGGCTATTAAAATAGATCTTAGAGAGGTAGGATGGGATGGTATGGATTGGATTGATCTGGCTCAGGATAGGGACCAGTGGAGGGCTCTTATGAACACGTTAATGAACCTTTGGGTTCCATAAAATGCTGCGTAATTTTTTAGTAGTTGCAGAATTGGCGGTTCCTCCGGAAGGGCTCAGCTCCATGAGTAAGTAAGTTGTTACCCTACAGAAAACTCACTATCTGCATTACAAAGCTTAACCATGGAGTAATCACAATTTATTCAGGAGAATCATGCGAAACGTATAAATACACTGTGGATAAAATGTAAGGCTTTTTAATGTCGAAGTAGGCCGAATGTATGTACGAGTAGTAATCATTGTGCTTGTAGGGCTAATAGGGTGTGAAGCTTGACTGGTTCAGGACAGGGTGCAGTCATGCGCTTCCCTTGGTGCGGCGAAGAAGGTCTGGGTACCTTGCACGCAGCAAATGTCCACGCTCACTGTGAACGTGTTACTTACTACAAAGAAAGCCTTGAACTATGGAGAAAGTTACACATTTGTTTACAGTTATTGAGTTTTTGAGTTTTTGACATCCGTCGTTCTGTTTCTGGTTTAAAAGACGTTTCGGAGACTGGATTCTCTCTCCGTCCTCAGGCAAAAGCCTCAATTGGGTCCAGTCCGGAGATAGGGACTAGTTCTATCGATTGGGCACAGTCGAATAATCTTTCACATGAGGGCTGAGACAGAATCCATTGTCCGAAACGTGTTTAAATAAAAGAACAGGAAAGAGGATAATGTCCAATGACTACATAATTTTATCAATATACCATCCTCACAGGCTTTTAGATCTTAGTTTTTAATTGACAAAAAGTAGAAGTGTCCCTGTAACGGGCCGTGGAGGCCCATAGGGTTGTGAGACGTCGAGGCTCCACATTTTTGAGGCAGTCGGTTCACAGATGGCGAAATTGTCAGCCTTACGCCCCGACCGCCTTTTACCCCAGGAATATTCTTGGTGCTCATTTCTGTTAGAGGCTGAGTCGACCCCAGAGCCAAAGAGCGGCTGGAAGGATTAGATAAATTGAAATAAAAAATGCAATGACCTCATCGGGAATCGAGCCAATAACCTTCCGGCTTGTAGCATAGTGCCTCAACGAACTGTGGTGCCGCGTGCTCCTGTTTACTTGATACCGCGTCTGTAATAACAACGAATCTAGTTTTTGGAGACCGAAATTTCTGAATGAGGAAGTTGGATGTCCAGCACAAGACAATGTTCATCCCATGCAATCCCTTTGAACCAATTGACGAATGTATAATAAACTTAGCACGAACTTTATGCCACAAGAAGGTACTTCCAATGTATCCGCTTTTAATTCCCTTCAAGCATTGAATCTAAAGTGGTGATATTGCGAACTTCTGAATTGGCAATCACACCAAGCTTACTTCATGTGAGGTCCTAAAATGTTAAGTAGTAACAGATCTTCGTAGGCGTGCAAATTACATTTTTGTTGTTCTTGTTGTATGTAAAACAACATGGTGGTCGCATGAAATCTGAAGAACTCATATATGTTCAGAATTATAGAGTTTTTGGACTTTGTCCTCCATCCGGCATTCTAAAACCTAGAGAACGAAACGTTTCGGAAACTGGATATGTTCCCATCCTCAGATGAGGGGGCGGGAGACACAAACTGTGTGTGGCCTCAGAAAGTTAACCTTAATCACTGGTGGTCCAGTGGATGAGGTTAGCTCTTTCTAAGAGACCCACCAGCATAGATATCTCCCCCTCACCTGAGGACGGAAAAAGATCCAGTTTCCGAAACGTTTTGTTCTCTAGTTTCTAGACTGACGGATGGCGGACAAAGTCCAAAAACCCAGCAATTCTGCGTTTTATACAGCATCGTCAGAACCCTTTAGCATGTACCCGTATATGTTGCTTAACTCCCGGCCTCTTGAAGATAACTAATTAACTACTTGAGAGAGACGAGAGACATTCTGTAGGGTCTAATGGGGATATAACAACATGCATACTCTGCATGGAACGTTACTTTAGGCAAGGGCCGTTACAAATTTCGCGAGGGCAAGAGTGTTTAAGATTGTCTGTGACAAACCAGAGTCGGAATGCAGAGGCCTGCTGGTGGATACTGAACACAGAAGTGGGTTAATAAATTTTGTAATAATAATTTTTAGTCCATGATTTATTCCAGCCGTCTTACAGTGCATACACTCATCCACCTCACCCTTCACTCCTGCACTACATGTTTCGGCACAAAGGTGCCATCTTCAGGTGCTTTTCGATTTACGTTAAACTACTTCACTGCATGCCTTGCCGTCTTCATACTAAAATAACTAAAATATATGTTCATATATACTGATAAATTTTAAATATTAAAAATATTAAAACTGTTCAGGATTTTTTATCCCTACGTCGCATCTCAATACGCGAGTCACACCTATCCTCTTCTATCGGAGCACTCTTCCTACTTTCGTGTTTGTATTGTGCTTTGTGTTGTGTCTTGCTCCTGTGACTGCGTGTGTTGTACTGCTGGGCCTGCTGGGTATGTGTGTGTGTGTGTGTGTGTAAGACGGCTGGAATAAATCATGGACATAAATCAGTGCAACAGGACGCTAAAATATAACATTATTAATAATTTTTAGACTGAAACATTTTGGAGAAAAGTGGCGTTATTGTTTCTTCACAGGACTTCCTGTTGTTAATTTGTTGTTGTATGAATTCTTACGCGCCGCATTTCA